CACACATACACACACGCGCACGCACACGCACACACGCGCGAACACGCGTGCACCTAACTGCTTACACTCTTCGACATTTCCAACTTTAACCAGAGAAAAAGTTTAACAACTTTATCTAGTCCTAAAGACTTCAAATACATTTAAAATACATTACTTGATTAAATTTAGCCTCGTAACAACGTGTAACTAGTGTAAAAAGCTTAAACCTTCTCATCACATAAAACCAGGTAGGTAAGGCACGTACTTGAAAAAAGTGTACCATCCATTAATTTTCTTAGGATTCGAACCTTTACTTGCTCTAAACGTTTGACCCTATTATAGACGATCGACCCATAATCTATTTCCTCCTACTTTTTCTACAAACCCATGCAGAGATTTCTATTCGAAGAGTCAGTTTTGAAGCGGCATCGATTCATCTACTAACACGTCACTCGTTAAATTGCCACCACAAGGCAAAACACTACCAACAGGCTTCTATAATCACTCGATTTTTTTTCTATTTGCCAAAAATGGGTGATTCTATTTAGAAAAGGACAGGACAGCTTGTCTTTTGACTACATAGCAAAAATATGACACAATCTCTGAAGACATTCATGATTCATCTATAGGCAGGTGAGCACACATGTCAAATCCGCATGCTTAGAAGCATTTGTACGATCTAACCCGTTCATGACCGTTGCTGAACCGTTCAAACCGTTCATGCTGGTTACCAACTTGGCAGTAAATGCTGAGGTACGACTGTTTTCTGGTCCTCCAACTACCTGTTTGTATGTTTTCATACATGTTTTAAATACCTATCGTATATCCATTACAACTAACTACATGCAAAAAACACTCACAACAAAAAATGCCCATCTAAGAAATTCTCTATTATGCAAGAGTTTTTTTAATTACAGTGTTTTAGAGTTTTGCAGATAATATATATATATATATATATGTCTGTCTCAAACAGATGCGCCTACCTTCTTCCAGGGCTAGCTTGCATGAATTGTAGTCTTTGTATTTAAAGGCCACAGGGTTGTTTTCTGAACATCCAGTATTGGCACAATAGCACCGTTCATCATTCTTGATGTTACATCCAAAGCATGACCCACCTGTAAGTGAAGAAACAAAGCATATATTGTATTGCATTAACCACTCGAATTTTTCGTAGTGAAGAATTAACCTAAGTCTAAGATTGTATATTAGTATGAATCTAATAAAAAAATTCCTTCAATTCTGTATATCCAATCCTTGCATTATGCAAATCTGTAAAACGCAAAATCATGTAAAAAAAAACCATAATTTCTGTAAGTGACAAATGCTAACGTGTACACAAAGTGATGGTGAATTCGTGTAGCCCTGCCAAACCTCATACTATATACTGTCATACTATATACTCAGCTGTCGATGGGATATATGGAATATTACAATAACTCTCATATTGAATGTATGCTTGGTTTAGTGCAGAGGACGTTTACCTTTACACACGCACATCACAAGCACTAAGAGCATTCAGGGTGCTGCGAGCTATTAATCATATATAATATATATTAATTATATATGGCTAAATAACTCAGAGTTCTATAATCGATAGATTAGTTGTCCTCAGCTCCTGCCAGCATGAGATTTGAAGAGAAGGCGAGTTAATACTCCAGCACACGATCAAAGTTAAATAAAAAATAATTATATAAATATTATTACTATTAGTATTACACCACATTAGTAATATGCACATTTTGATTGTAATGGCGTTTATACTAAGTACGTGCGCGCAGGAAAAGACAGACCTGCAATGATTTCTCCCTCAGTTTGTTGAACATATTAGGACACCTAGAAACTGATCATGCATTTAGTAATCGAGTCGACTTGCACATAGGCTATATCTGTCTACTCACCCGGCGTGCTACCATGCTATTAACCCTAGCAAATACATATTATACTACTTCTCGGACTATAATAGCAAGCTACCGGGTACAATGTAGTGGTACAGCATGAAAACTGGGTCAACCTTCTGCGAGACCACTGCCGCTCAGGTACGGTCACGTCTCTCGATTCATCTAGGAAAGACTCTACGAAGATGTTTCCCCTACTTGTATCACTTCTATTTACATATACAGAAAACCCCGCATTGTGATCATGCAGATACTATATATGCGTTCGTAACATACATTCAGAAACTGCGTGAGGATTTCTAAGCAAGCAATCTTTTTATTAGCTGTTATTTACACAGCTGAAGTTCTAAGTGTATAACATAGAACATTGCGCGCACGCATTGTGTCCCATATCAGCTGTCCTGAACTATATACATTTTTGTATACAGCGCACATACAATTAATACCAATATACAGCTGACGAGCATGCATGCATATATAGTACCATATGCCATCGTGTGCACTAGTAAACACACAAGATAATGGGGACATTTACAAAGTAAGATCGGCAGTCAGACTTAACACGGTGCTGACAATAACTGCCAAGATACCTTACATTGCATCTGACAGTATGCATTCGAATCGATACGATATGCGCAGCTGGGTTAAAGTTCATTCTTCTATAAACACAAGTAAGTCACTGACCGTGTGCGTACCTATACCACTTACTCTTTTTCGAACTTTGAAAGCACATTATTGATCCTCACATTGAAACTGTTCTTCTCACTTCCGTGAGTCACGTAACTATAGCTACAATTTCTTTTACGGGGGCAAATTAAAGCTAGATCATGCTTATCTGTATAAAATTATGTTGTATAAAACACAACACGACCTTTTCCTCCCAACGCATACTTCGTGGTTAGTTATGTTATGAATTTATAAGACACCCAATCAATTATGTAGACTGTAGTGGTGCTATAAAGTGACGCCCTCATAATCATACGGGTGAGCACACTTCTATTCCTATATCTGCGATGCACACATCAACAACAACCTACAAAATATAAGCTTGGCATATCTTTAGGGGCATTCCCCGGTGTCCGCAGGACGCGACTCCATTGGGGTTTTTCCCATTACTGAAACTAACCCTAACCCTAGCTCGCGCTACTTTGCCGCGGCTTGCACATGCACCCGTGCGGATCGAGGTAGGTGTTACAGAACTAACGCCTAATGTCGACAGTAATTAACTTACAAATCCATATTCTATAGTAATAAACGTACATTATCGAGCATTTGTATAATATGTCACTTACTTTGTTCTAGGTGACAAATGCCATCCTTACTGTCCACGTCCGAAACGGCCTCGCCGTGCTTAACCTCTCGGTTACATGAGAGACCCTTGTCACATTCTCCAAGTGTTCCGTGAAGCCCACCACAGGATTCTCCTTCGACTTTGGCGCATTCCATACAACACTTACACGGATCCCTGACAGTACCACCCGTACAGTTAACTGAGGGAACGCATTCTTCCGTGATGCACTTTTTACACGTGAGGCAACTAACCCCAGTCACTGAGAAGAGGCACAAGAGGAAGAAGAGGATGCATTCTCTTGCCATGCCACTGACAGGCGTGTACCAGCTAGCCTGCTTATTTCGATCTGATACTGATAGTTTCGAAATTCCAGCGTGTGTGCGTGTCGAGCGGCGCTCATCTGACGACGGCAATGCTGATCAAAGTCCGTTTCTGACTCTGAAGGTATTTTTTGACATCCTGTGGAGAACGGCTCACTTCACCGACGAGTTTACATCGAAGTGGTGTCACATTTTCCTAACCGGGTTATATGAACGGAGCAATCGATGCAGACAACACAAGCGTCGCGGCTTCTCGTGCTGTTTACGCGCTGAGTTGTGCGTACGTCGCGCCGCCTAGTGGTCATTATTTACTTGACTAAAACTTGCTCGGCATGTGATAATCACGCCTGCGACACGGACACCGAATAAATAGAGCACATATCAAATAAATTGTTGTTGTTTTTGAAGTTATACATCAACTAGGATAATCCAGTTGACTTATCTATACTGTACTGATAGCCACTCGTTTTAAAAATTGGTGTATTTCCACTGCACCTGTAATCTATGCCGCAGGTGGTTTTACTGCATTTGTAGACGGACTCCATATCGTTGGAATCCCAAACATTGAACGAGTGGTGAGTTCATGCAGCACGAGTCAATGGACTTTGGATTCGGCTAGTGAGCCGTCTATGTGTAGTTTTCGTTTCACTCGCTCCAGCCGAGTGGCGCAACGTAGCTGGAAACGCAAAGGAGTTTTGTAAGTTTAGGTGTTGCTGTGACGTTGTTAGTGGTTAAAGCGGTTTCTGTTCTTATTAGTTAGTACTTATTAAATTAGTACATAAGTAGACGATAGCTAGTTAGGCTGAATGGGTCGTTGTCGTATCAGGTACTACAGATATGTACCCGAGGTACATATATCAGGAGTAGATAATAGGGTTCCCGATTAATATTGCCTATTAGTATTATTGGTAAGAACTTATTTCCATCCCTCAAACCGCCCTAGGTCGTTTCCGATGTGCATGTCCCACCGCCGCGGCGCGTTAGGCGTTTAGGGTTAGGTTAGGGTTAGGTTAGGAAAAAAACTGTTGTGAAAAAAAAATTCGCGGTGGGACCTGCGGCTGCAGACCGGAAGCGACCTAGGGCTGTTCGAGGGATGGAAATAAGTGCTTACCTATTTATATTATCTACTCCTGACATATATATATACACAAAGTGTACCAGACTTGTACTACAGAAGTGTACCCTAACCCTAACCCTAACCCTAACCCTAACCCTAACCCTAAACATATACCTCATATAAAAATATAAACAATACTAAACAACCTAAAACTACCTCGGGTACATATCTGTAGTACCTGATACGACAACGACCCCATCTGCGCTAGTTAGTGCATTATTATTTAACATATTTTGATCACAACTGACTTTATTCAACGCCGAATGCTACGCCAAGAGAACTTGTAGTTGTAATGTCAAAATAACTAACCGCAAGAAAATCAATCATACAGTGACGATTTTGATGTGTACAGCAAACACCAAAACAAAAGTGAGTGACTGAGTCAGCAAAAGGCACGCACACTCACAAGTTTGTTTGGTGTCAACAAGTGAAGTCTATGATGGTAGATGTATATACTATCTATGACTAGTTTTTGTCGATTTTAAGGAATAAGCCTTTCTGTGGGATTTCTGGAAAATCACCATCGAGTACTCCTAGCATCATAATTTATTTAATTGTTGTTATATTCTGATTGAATTTTTCAGGTTTACAATAATAATTGCAAAGTTGGACACGTACTACAGCTTTGCAAGCACAAGATGAACCTCTTTCTACACATCCCGCTTATGCTTGTGTTTCTTTCGTACACAGAAACGTCTTCTCCTATGTAAATAGTAGTGTGGATATTATAGATCTATACCTTTTATACATACACTGATACAGCACACAATGTACATATTTTGTAGTACACAGCCGGGGCGTAAATCCCGGCTCTTAAAGGAGGGGGGGATGGCCTGTACAAATATCCTTCCCTGAGATTCAAAAAAAAAGAGAAAAAAAAGAATAGCTAAAAAGTATGGTTGCAAACATACAAAAACACGTGAAATTGTGAGATTGCAATTCTTACCTGTGTTTTAATACATGTATTACTACTATAGTAACCTAACTGTATGCTCTCTGAAAAGTCATGAAAAGTGTTTTGAATCCTAACTTGTAGGGTTGAGATAGTGTCATCAGACATGAGAATATGGCCCACAGTATGCCTCAGATTGCAGGAAAATGGCTTAAATATTTCAAAATTTTCTTGGGGGGGCATGCCCCAGACTCCCCTAGCACTGCCATTCCTACGGCACGCGGACCTGCCTGCGGCAGCCAAGGTTAATTTCGCTCCCGGCTATCGCCGATCATCTCCCCCACTCCTCGGTACGGATTTACGCCCCTGTACACAGCTAGTATAAAGCTGCATTAGTTAGCTATATGGTTTAACTGGGCACAGGTATTGTAATACATGGCTTCTCTTATTTGACAATTTTCTGTGGGTTAACTTATTTAATTTTGTATAACTAGCAGCAGTTTGTATGTTAGATTTTATGTGGGCAATTTCTACCAAAAATTATCATTATAGCATTTGCTCATGCACATAAAGCACTGCAGAGCTTATAGTTCTAAACTATTGTTTTGTTTTTCTAGACCAGAATGGGACTACCTAACGTATGCCCAGTTTTGGCCAACCAGCGATTGTATCCACCTTAATGTAAGTATTATATCCTTGGATTTGTACATTCTGTATATAACAATTTTAGGTGCATGATCAACCTTTGCCATGTATTTCGACCAGAATTGCAGGTGTAGCATCATATACCTCGATGGTGTCTGTACATGTTCTTCTATAGTTTACACTATCCACAAGTTGCCTTCTTGATTCTCACTACGTGGTGAGAACGACGTAGCATTGTGCATGTGTTCTTTTCTAACAACCAGCCCTGCTGGTTGCTGTGATATCACATTAATTTAAAACACAGGCCTTTTATATGTATAACTGATGTTGTCCACTAACAGAATCGGGGCGAAAATGCCTGTATAATTGTGCTTCGTTTATATCTATCCATTCAAAAAATGTACATTTAACAATATGAGAATTTTACCATAATCAAGAGCTAATAATACCTATAGGTATATTTATTATATTATTAATAGGTATTATTAGCTCTTACCATAATGTAAGCTGCAATGAATACTGTTCTGTCAAGCTGAGAGTAGTTTTATTGAAAAAAAGCTTGAGTCTCGAATTTGACTTTAATTTCCTTGACTTAATTTAAGAGTACAGGTGTTCCATGCAAGATTCCAGAAAAGACCAAATCATGGACAGTTCATGGACTTTGGCCAACACACACCGGAACAATTGGTCCAGGATATTGTAATGATTCGTGGCCTTTTAATGTCAGCCTATTGAAGGTATTACCTAATATTTGAGTCCTTATTGGATATCATGCTGAGACTAGGAGGTTTTTTAAAATATTTCCTGTGTTATGCCCGGCGCACACGTGACTTATTTTTCTCAAGTAAAATGACGCATGAGTCAAATTACTCAACGAAAATCCGCCGCACACGTGAGTAAAATGACGCATGCGTCAAATTACTCAACGAAAATCCGCCGCACACGTCAGTATAATGACGCACGCGTCAAATTACTCAACGAAAATCCGCCGCACACGTGAGTAAAATGACGCATGCGTCAAATTACTCAACGAAAATCCGCCGCACACGTGAGTAAAATGACTCATGCGTCATTTTACTTGAGTAAAATAACTGACGTGTGCGCCGGGCATTAGAGACAAGCTCGTAAAACTACAGAAATACTTTGTCATCATACACCTGATATGTCACTTGCTTATTTGGAGGCTCTACTGTGTTCAGCTGGTGAATGCTCCTATGATAATTACACGGGCCATTGTACTTAATTTTGTATGGCTGTGTTTACTGTTTTAGACAATTGAGAGTGACTTGCTGGTACGGTGGCCATCATATGAAACGGAGAAACCTGAAACTAACCTGTGGTAAGATTATAAACAAACTATGGTTTGAATGGCTATTTGTTTTAGCAGAGATGACCTTGTGTACAATGGAGGATAGTAGGGTTAAGTACATTGTTGTGTTTTAGATGCAGACAGGAAGTAAATAAACAGTTCCATTCTACTCACACTAGACATGATATAGAATACTAAATTCCATTCTTACTAATTTACCGAATGTGCTGACTGATATTAGTTTATCATTGGGCTGTAGCCCATGCAACATAATTTTTAGAGTAAAGATCCAGAGAAATATACCTTGTTATTGGATTAGCAAACTTAGTTGCCTTAATTTGCACGAGGTATCTTTTGTTCAACCGCAACTCTGATATTTTGATTTTCATAATAATAATTGCAATTTGGTGCTGTTACGGTTCAATGTCTGTGTTCTGCAGGAATCATGAGTGGATAAAGCATGGGACATGTGCTGCGTCTCTTCCCTCACTTCGGGGAGAACTTAACTACTTCACAACAGGGTTGAAGCTCAATAAAGATACATCCTTAGAAAGGTAAGTATCTAGTTTTAGTTATTAAGCTTGACATTTACCAAAACTTTACTATTACTTTAATAATAGTTGTTTTTTACGATAAAATGTCTTAATCTCAAATTGTTTATTTTGTTATTTGCAACCCTCATGTTAGGAATTGTTAATAATGTCAATAATGCACTATGTTAATTGATAATTTCGAGTGTTGAGATTTTCACTTGTTTTCACTGTTGAGTATATTTATTTCTCTCTCTCTCTCTCTCTCTCTCTCTCTCTCTCTCTCTCTCTCTCTCTCTCTCTCTCTCTCTCTCTCTCTCTCTCTCTCTCTCTCTCTCTCTCTCTCTCTCTCTCTCTCTCTCTCTCTCTCTCTCTCTCTCTCTCTCTCTCTCTCTCTCTGTCTCTCTCTCTTTCTCTCTTTCTCTCTTTCTCTCTTTCTCTCTTTCTCTCTCTCTCGCTCTCTCGCTCTCTCGCTCTCTCTTTCTCACTCTTGTAGTGTAGTTAGTATGTTATGCTTTACTTTTTGTATTCGTTTACGAACACGTGATCTATGACACTGTTGTATATGCTACACGTGACGGTGGGAATAAAACATACGGGGTCTTTGAGCCTGTGTGATAAACAGAAACAGACGTGTTTACTTGAGTGTTCAGAGGCAAGAGCCTACAACACTATAACTCTCTCTCGCTCTCTCTCTCTCTCTCTCTCTCTCTCTCTCTCTCTCTCTCTCTCTCTCTCTCTCCTCTCTCCTTTCTCTCTCTTTCTCTCTTTCTCTCTCTCTATATATATATATATGGGAAATGCGTGCTAAACATTTCAGTGTCCTTGCTGCTGGTGGCATTGTCCCAACAAAAGATAGTTCAATCCAGTATGAGGTAATCCTGATGTTTGATATGTAATTATTTATAAAACGTCTGTTACCATTGTGTGTGCATGCATACCAAAAGCTCGTGTTGAAATAGGCACAGACCTAATATACATAATTTACTGTTTTACAATTTTTGTGCTAAAAGCTAATATAGAATATAGTGCTGTATTCAGTACAATTATATACATATTAGTATTACATACTAACGTGCTACAATTCAGTTATCTTATAGCTTTCAGACATTGAAAGTGCTATCAGAAAAGGACTGGGAACATCAGGCAATATACTGTGTGCTTGGGAAAAGGTATATCTTATATATATATAGTTAATGATGTAAAGCATAAAAAGGATTAATATACTCCACATCTACTGTTATATGTTACAAAAACAAATTTAATGATTATGCGTCTGACTCGCTATTAAAAGGCAGCGTATGTGATCAATGCACTGTAAAGATGGGACAACACGATTACACATTCTGAAACCTTGATGCTTAAAAAATTTGTTCACAAATATTTTATCATGTAGATAGGAGGGATTTTCACGTGGGTATCTGCGTTAGTGAATGAGGAGCATTCTGTAATTATACAGTATTTCAAGATAGAATTTTGTGTTCCTCCATATATTGCCATCTGGCTAGCTGGGTGTTCGCCATGATGCAGAATGTAATATCTGGTCTTCCACTCATTTCTCCATAGCAAGTTATAGATTTCTAGTTCACTAGAAGAGAGTATACAGCCTGAATTTAATATAACGATCACCGAAATTTAAAGGGATACTAGACTCCAGGATTTTACTGCATACAACTGTACTTACTGTATAACAAATCGTCTATACCCAGACGTACTTGTTACAAGATACCTAATATAATTGTTATAATTAATGTTAGCGTACATCAACGCTACGAAATTTGAACGGCGCCATTGACACCCGCGACCGTGCTGCCACCCTGAAAAAGTTGCGCATTTCTCAATATATTTTGCACGTTACAGACCGAGGGCTAATCACAAAGGTGCAATTATATTTATACCTAAATGCTATTTAACCGAACTATGTTTATTTTCGGACAAATTTATCCATAATATAACTGAAACTATATGTCGTTTATAAGATATTACAATCCTTTTGCTTTTAAATTAATAAATAACACCCTCGGTCTGTAGCCCTTGGCTGAAAAGTCGTTTTGCGCAACTTTTCAGATCGTGCGCTTTGAGTGGCGCTACTACAAACTGTAGTCGTTAGTTTTAAAACATTTTTTAAATATTTCTAATGGTGATTGAACCATTTAACCTAAATTAACTGCAAATAACCCTAGAACCTAGAGTAAAGGATCCCTTTAATTACATTTACCAAGTTTCTTATTTGAATGAGAAATGGGTTGTAGTAGTAATATTAACAGAAATATATGTAGTTGCTTCCTGAGACAATAATATTAAAAAAAAATTTATAACTCAGTAAGCCAATAATCTTAACGTTTTTCCCATATCTTTGTAGCACACAAAACTGAATCATCTGTACAGCATAGAGATTTGCCTGGACAAGAACCTTACCTACATTGACTGCCCTGTTGGAAAAAGCAGCATTTGGCCAGCGAACAGGTCAATTAATAACATCGGAGACCTTATTCTAAGTAACTCTGTCCTTGGGTCTGTAAAAGAATACTGGCATCATGCGAGGAAATTTATTAAGAATGTGAAAGTAATGCAACATAACGTTTATAATAAACGTGGTCGGTATGTTCGAGATACAAGCATTGGAAATATGTTTGGTAATACTGAGTTTTGTTCAGGAAAGGAAAGTATTACATATTTACGAATTGTTCACTCTTAGTTCTTGCATGGTTATCATGTATAATGTTGAAATTGGCTTTTATCGCAGAGTATTGTCGGCAGTACGTGTTATTCGGTAAAAGTGAGATATTGGATTGTATTCTTTTCGTAAGGCAATAAATACACACGATGTCTGACTTCCTCAATGAGTGATCTTAATTAAGAATTTAATATCAGCAATAGAAATGATAAGAATTACAGTCAGCATTGGTTCTATTTGTATTACTCGTGAATATCATGGCCTTTACTGTCTCGGCACTTGCCGTTTTGTCAGGCTCATTTTGAAAATGGTGCTGAAATGCTAATGAAGTGTAACTTTCTTTTGGTGCTTATTTGTAATAAATTTGGTATGTGCTAATTTATCATCGAATTGGTTTCTTGTTATATTATTTTGTCTCAATTATATATAATAATAATTTTTTGGGTTAGGAAAGTCCCACAAGTCGATATTCAAACAAAGCAAGTTATCATGTAGCAATTGCTACCTTTTGAAGTGCAACTGTTTACGTGTCATGCAATGGTGATGATGCCACTACTGGGTCCTTTTACAAGTTGTGCTTTCAATCGAGCACATGTACAACACCAAACTAAGGAAAATACGTCGGAAAGCAATGTTTATCCAAAGTAGGATCCAGTAAACGAGTAGTACATATAGGGGAACAGAGTGGCCGGAGGTTAAATTGGTTATGGGTGAGGAGAGATGGAAAAAAATTCATTTTCCGGTCATATGTTCCTTTTTGAAGAGCAGTTGGTCTTCTCCCCGATCCTGTGCCCTTCACCATTTTGCGCCCTTCTTTGTCTCTTCTCATTTCAGATCCGCCATGCTCCTTATTTGGCTCGTCTTCTTACTGTTCCATTTGCATGTCGATCAGCTCTCCTTGTTATCCTCCAGGGAATCCTCAGATTCCTGTGTCAGCTTGCGCTGTAAACATGTATAATGTAGAAATCATGAACCATAATGCCCCTAATAGCGTTGTCTTATAGTTGGTGCATATATCTATGTTAAACAGCGTAGATGGAATACAGCAGTGAAACATCTAATTGACATTAAAAAGTAAAACGTAATGAAAGTGTCAATGACACTCTAGCTCACCACAAAAAAGCACACAAATGAGAGTGAGAAGAAGTCGGTTTTAATTGAGCAACCATCGACGTACATTATAGAAACGAAGAGTATATATAGGAGAACTCCCATTATATACTCTTGATAATTATGTGTGTAATTTTTTATGTGAAAATAATAAATAATATTATATATATATAAATTATAAATAATTTATAAACAAAAATGAATTACAATTTGTGACGGTAGATGGCGCTATACCCGCTTTGATGTTTCTTAGCATAAATCATTATATCATAATAATAATAGTATAATCATAATAGTATATTAAATGATAATATGTTAATAGCAGGAATTTTGCCTAAAGATATTGTCAATAAAATCTTGTAACACGAACCAGACGAGTGTGACACCGTTATCTGCGTGTCTATATAATGCTATATAATTGCCAAACCCTACCTAATTTGCATAAAACAAATTTAAATATCAAAACCTCTAGCCCTTATTCATACACATACCAAAAATCAGCAAAATCCGTTGAACCTGAACTGACTAATGGCCATTCCCATTTTTGGCAAAAAATTGCCGTGGCTCTAAAGTACGTCGAGTGGCGTGCTCCAAAATAGGACGTTTAATATGGGAGCATAGCAGTAACAACTATACCGAATTTAAAACACGTCGGTCAAACGGTTCCTGAGTTATCGTTGACCGTAGCCAAATGTTGACGGACGGACGGACGTACGACGGACAACGACACCTGGCTCAGTTTCACAGGCACTTGGACCGTTTCAATAATAAAATGATGGTTAATAAATACAACTTGTCAGTAGCCTACTACTACAGTACCAGCAATAGTCTTAATGTTTGATTTGACCTAATAACTTCACTTCAACACCGTTCAATACACCGCTGCAACACATAGCCCGCACGCCATTGTGCATGCACAAATACACAGTAGATAGGATAGTAGATAGGTAGATAGGAGCTCCTATCTACTGTGTATTTGTGCATGCACAATGGCGTGCGGGCTATGTGTTGCAGCGGTGTATTGAACGGTGTTGAAGTGAAGTTATTAGGTCAAATCAAACATTAAGACTATTGCTGGTACTGTAGTAGTAGGCTACTGACAAGTTGTATTTATTAACCATCATTTTATTAATATTGAAACGGTCCAAGTGCCTGTGCTCAGTTTGACGATGTCAAGGTGAGCTAAAAATAAGACAAGGATCACAATGTCATGTTGGGAGAGCAGGCTCCGCCGTGCGGCGGCGGCGCTGCGATACATCAACAAGTGTGCGATACGGATCCTACCAATTTTTGGTTTTCTTTTGATACTATAATATTTACATACAGTACATATTTGCTGCGTATGAACTTTGTATCACGAGATCTAATAAGGGTGCGTACGTAGCAGTTATCACTATATCAGTATATGACCGTGTAAGGGAATTTAAGGCGTATAATAGCCTGTTTCGTAATATCCAAGGCAATTGTTGAATATACCATCCTTTGCCTTTGGCAGCGACAGTGGTAAGCTATCCTACGAGTGCGACTATATAACGTTACTTACTACTTTAGTACTTAGTGTCAAAACTATACGTATATTAATTTGATATACTGTAGCCTGTAGCTATGTAGTATCCCCTTACATCGGGGGTCGGGCCAGAGGAGGGATGTGGCAGGGGTCTACAGCTGGATGGTCAGGCGTACCCGCGTTGGGAAAAAATATCATGAACTTTGTGGGGGAATATCGACTTATATGAAAAATGCTATTTGTAGTCACTCTTCATCATTCCTTGGTGTTTCGCTAGTCTCAGTTACTTTTAAGGATACACATAGGCAGGATGAGGAATGAGCTATCCAATGCATACAGTATATATTACAATAATGATACAATGTAATACTATAGTACTTGACTCCTGATACAATGTATATCAATAGTTATAAATTAGCCATTATACTAGGCATTAATTCCTGCTAAAGATGTCATTCTGTGTCGGGCAATATCTGGTGCGACCCTTGCTGTACGTAGTACTATAGTATTATAGCCTCCAGATCAATGAAGGCTTTTGTAGTGTGGGCCTAGGTGCTATCGAAGAATTATGTTGCCTTACCAGTTAGGTTTATCTCTGTCATATATCGCTCTTGCTGCCACAGTTAGTGTCTGTGTCACTGCTTGTGGTAGAAAGCCATTGGCATTGGTGCTTGTTAATTATGGGGTTAGGTTAGGTGGTTCAAGGATGGAGAGCATGGTCAGGGTGATAACCATTATCTGGTAATGTATGGTAATGAGACATATTAATAAAATAATGTGTCTCTTTCCCTGTGACCTAATGAGTCTGAACCCTTAATTGTTTTATAACCTGTTGTTGTAGTTTGTATGTCTCTGTTTATTATTGAATCACCATGGCACTGTGTGTTTTCTTGTTATAGCCAAGCATGGACTTGTACACTCGCTGGCAGTTGTCTATTCTGACTGTCATCGCCTTTCTGGTGTGTAATGTCAAAACTGCAAATGCAATTATATGTGGTCCATTCATATGCGACGGTGTGGGAGCCTATTGCTGTGATGGAGGTATGTTCAACCAAGTCATGTAGCTCGAAAATATATATAAATTGGTCTTTTCATATATATATATGTAACCGCCCGTAGCCAGGGGGGGTTCGGGGGTTTCGAACGAACCTCCCCCGGCCCCAAGCAAAAATTTTTTTTTTTTTAAATTGCAAGAATTTCACCAGGTCGCTCTATTTAGTGTAATAATTGCAAAATCTCCATCTGTGCGGGACGTGAACAGTGAAACCCCCCTCCACGCACCCCTCCCCAGCTCGAGTCTCGCACTTGCTCCGCTCGCCATGTCCGCGTTGCGCCCCAGCAGGGCGTGTTACCAGGGCTCTCCAGGGATCGCGGACTACCAACCTTGCTCGCGCACGAAAGAAAAAACGCATCTGGAGGGGGTGTAATTTTAAAAAATGTTTCTGGGGAGGGCCCCTACCAGACCCCCCCTAATCGCGTCTGCGCAACTTCTGGTTACGTTTAGACACGCCACCTGTACAAATCCTGTACACCCCCTGCCGAGCAAATTGCCAACATTGAAAAACGAACCCCCCCCAATACAAAGCTGGCTACGGGCCTGTATGTACATATATAAATATATAATATATGTGTTGCTCCCACATATTTTTGAAATAGAAATACAAAGCCAAGAGTGCAGTTGTCTTGGTTTAGTTCAGAATCATTAGAAAAGTAGATTTCACACTAATTACTAATTTCGAACTACTGTTACAATGTATTGTTTTGATGTTATCAGTTGCAAGTCTTCTTACACATAGGGCTTGTTATTATTTTGAGTATTTTGCTACCGGGAGACACTAGTCGATGAATAATCGTGTGTCATCCGATCATGATGGTTTATTTTCAGGCACACGTTGCTGTTGGTATACCTGGTACTCATTGTGGTGGACGTGGGGGATGATATTCATGTTATTCATGCTGCTGAGCGTATGCATGGGATGCTGCTACAGACGACGATATTACTACACACGGGAGTATATTGTAGCTCACGATGTTAACACCGTGCCAGTGTATGGAACCATTCAACCACCGCCAGCAGGATACCAATGGAGTCCTGCACCTGGTGTCGCTCAACCACCCCCATATGCGGCACAGGATGCAAGAAAGCAACCACCATCCTATAATCCTGGTTTTCAGAATGCTTGAGCTCTATGTTTCATTGTCAGGAATTTTATGTAATCGCATTGCAATGAAATGTTATTTACGGAGCGAGCATGGGTCTCCGTTATATATGAACAGTATCCGTCATTCTTATTGATTCTGATATAATGATTCTCTTGAAATAACTCCACATTTTCTCATAGATTTTTGATTTATGAGGATATTAAACACTTGCTTATCCACAAATATGCTAATGAGTCGGGGGCGGGGGGGGGGATAATAGATTGTAGGATAGCTGGGGCAGACCGGAGCCAGTAGCATGTTTTACTGTTTTTTGCTAAACGGCGGAGAAGTAGAGGGAGGTCCCGGGACAAGGGGACCATGACACTGATGGCCCCCTAGATCCACCAGGGACAGTAAAAAGCTTTTGATATTAAAGATCATTCAATCTGTATATCATGGTAATATATGTATATGTCGAATTTGTTATAAGTGTTTTAATTAAAAATAAAGCGAATGTTGCAATCAGAGGCATTTGTTTTGGAAACGATTGAGACCATTTCATGTGGTTTGCATTTGTACAAAGATTGGGAGAGAAAGTTTAGTTCAGTAACAGCACAAACACAAACGGCTTAACATAAGATGGAAGATCATAAATGTTGATGTCCTAACCTCAGACACGTGACCAAAACTAAGACCTATAGTTACCGAGTAGGCCGACATTTAATGATGATGATGATAATGTTGTGTTCGCGCGTTTTAACAAGCATGTTCATTTAAAAACGGAGATAGGAATAGAGCCGCAATGGTCATATGAACTCTTTGAGTCTACTCGTTGTTCAACTCATGATAAGCTAGACTACTTTTGAGAGAAACAAGTGCAGGGGAACATGAGATCAACACATGTCATCCTTCAAGCCTTCATTCCTAGGATCCAGCCATATTTCTGATACAGTAAAACTCGCATAAAACGCCATCGTGTAACTCGTCAATTCGCTGAAGTCGTCATGGAAGTCAAAGTCCCGATTTTTTCTAATGATAAATCCATTTGAATAAACCCCCGCCAAAGTCGTCATTTACAAGCCGTTATTATGTACAAGTCGTCGCCCCAGACAGGTCCAAAGTAATACAAACAACAGTAAAATCCTATATGTATGTCGTCGTCAGAAGTGCCGCTGGCGTAGTGTATGCAGCCCAATGTACCATAGCTGAGATACCGACTGCAGTCGTGCTTCCACTGAGCCATAAATGTGGAATAATTACTTATCGTTGATCGTGCTAATTGTGATCCAGGATGGGATAATTGATCAATGGAGTACGCGGAACATCTTTCCCGCTCTGCTATGCGCGCCGCGTGTGTGCATGTGTGTGTGTGTGTGTGTGTGTGCGTGTGTGCGTGCGTGCGTGTGTGCGTGCGTGCGCGAGTGCATGTGCGTGTGCGCGCACGAGTGCATGTTGTGTGCGTGGCTGCGTGAGTGCGTGTGTGCGTGGCTGCGTGAGTGCGTGTGTGCACGTGCGCGCGATTGCATCATTGCGGCGTAGGCATACACGCTCCCGCGTGAGTGCGTGCGTGCGCGAGTATAAATAAATAAATAATACATAACTAAATGAATTTATATGTATGTATATATATATATACACGCGCGCACACACACGCGCGCGCGCACATATATGTAGGCCTACATATGTATGATAAGTATGTATGTATAATTTAAAAAGCTATATATATATTTATTATATATATATAATATATTGGAATTATATTCTAAATATCAATACAGTATACAAAATTCCACAAGTATATATATATATATATATATATATATACTATATGATATGCTATGATTTGCCCTATATTCATATTTATGCGTTGCTACTCTAAAAGGCGCGGCGTGGGGGCGCCTTTGGCTGCAAGAAGTGTCTAGTGACGTCACACAACATGACGTGTATTGGCTGTTAGATGACCATGTCAATATAAGTGAAATATACATACAAGGGACATGCACACGCATGTATTTAATTAGACTGAGGGAACAGTGATTTTCCGGACGCATTTTTTGGACCATTTTAATTTTCTGGGAACCGGGAA